CCCAGCTGAGTGGGAGCTCCCGCCGCTCACCTAGGGGAAAATGGGGCCTATGGGGACAAATCACAAAGCGATTTTTCCCCATAGGCAACATCGCAATGCGATCGCTTTTGCGGTATGCGGATTTATTGTTAAACGGGGCACTCGTTATACGAGGCACCACTGTACTGATTCCATATACTTAATGATTTCCCATCATCCTCTGTGCTCAAGTCAGAAAGTACGTTTGAAATAATTTAGGCCCCATATGAAGACTTTTTTGCTCTCATTCTGCTATGACATGCACTCAAAAGAATGTAGCAATTTAGTGATTTCCTTAAGATAGCAATCAATATCTTGATTTATGCCTTCCAGAGGTTTTTAGCCTTTGACTCCCAGTTTCCCTGACCATTGGCCATGCTGGCTATAACTTATGGGGGCTGAAGTCTAAAGTATCTGGAGGGCCCAAAGTTGACAGCCATTACTAATGAACCAAGTCCAATCCATGAAAACGTCTGGGAGCTGTAGTGAGAAAATGGAACTTTTCCAAACTGACATAAAGCAACAGCCTAGGGGTATCATCCTAGCTAGCCAAGATGGCTGAGGGGCAGCTGAGGCTGTGCTGAATCCAAATGTGTCCTGTGGCATTTGCCCAGGTAATGGATATTTATATGCTATCTGCATAGACCAATGGCAGTGCTGGAGAGGCAGAGTCACGAGGTATGAGAGAGACAGCAGCAGCAGGAGGAGGAGTTTAAATAGAGTTTGTGAGATAGACAGATATGATTTTGAGACAGAGAGATTTGGAGTTTGGGTGTGAGAGTGGTGTTTGAGAGGGATAAAGGAGAATGTTTGTTTAAGAGTTAACAGTGTACTTTATTCTATCAACATCTATAACAATAAACAATTTCTATTTGGTTCTTTTAAAATGACATATGGTCTGGACCTCGATTATTCATTTATAGGTATTGTTGATGAAATCAACTGGTGGCAGCTGAGGGGCACGTAGCATGAGCTCTTTGTTTGGTGAGACAATCAGGGGCCACGTGGCATCGTGACACCTCCCTTCCCAAGGATGGTGGAAATTGCTGAGAACTGCCTTCACCACAGCCTACCTTTTTCCTGGCACAGTAGCTGGATCTCTGGGTTGGAAGAGATCTGAATCTGGCATAACTCAGCTCTACCCTCTCCCTTCCTGTCTCCACCCCTTTTGGCTTTTCTGCCCACTGATCTTAGCAAGCATGGCTGTCGTGTCAGCTGTTCTCTGTGATTAGCCTGCACAAGGGAGTTCAGCCAAGAAGCTTTCGCCCATTCTTGAAACCACTACAGCTGGTGTATTTTTTAGTTCAGACTGCACAGTGAGAACGTATCTGTAACCTAAATAATTATAATCTGGATTCAACTGTGTTCATATATTGTTATTTTATTCTTGCTATGTTAGGTGCAGAATAAAAGATACGAAGCTATACTAAAGCGCCTGCACTGTCAAGTGAACAGACTGCAGTCCAGCAAAAGACAGCATCAGTGGAACATACTTCAGATGGAAGAAAAAGCAGTGGAACTTAGAAAACTGCTTGGAGCAACTAATGAATGAGCTTGTCTTCAAATGCGGCCTCCATTTGTACAGCAAACTTTTAAGTCAATCTTATACTCAGTATTGTAACTCTTTCGTAGACCTTTTCTGCATGACAATACATTTGTCCTTGTTACAGTTGCAATCTGTATTTATTTCCCACACAAACTATAATTCTTCCCCACACACGGCTGCTTTTATTTCTAATGTACATGTTAAGGAGGAAAAAACCCTCGTTAAACAGCTAATCTTTGTCTGATTTGCTATTCTTAGTTGCTTTTATTCATCACAGTTTTGGTTTAAGATGACACTAGATACAGATAATTCTGGAATAATGTTATAGCATGCAAAACCATACCTAGTTTAAATTCATAAAGTAACATATTTAATTTAATTCAAATAGACAAAAATCACAAGTACCATATTTTGCGCTCCATAAGACGCACCTTTCCATAAGACGCACCAATTTTTAGGAGAAGAAAACAGGAAAATATAATCTGTTTTCTTTGCTCCATAAGACGCACAGACTTTCCACCCCCCTGTTTTGTGGGGAAAAAGTGTGTCTTATGGTGCGAAAAATACGGTACCTAGCTTTTATCATCATGAAATATGAACTAATGAGTGAAATATGCTGGCCAAATTCTGCTATGTAGTTACATCTGCAGAAGGCAAACAGTGTAACTCAGAGTGGCTTCTCTGCTGTTAATGAGTTCCTTGGATATTGGGGCATGTGCCAGTCTGATACATTTGTGTGTGCCCCCCAAATTTAAGTAGGGTCTCGTTACTGCCAGCCAGAAGTTGCTGCAGGTTATGGATTTGCCTTCCGTGTGTGTAACTCTGCAACAGGATTTGGGCCACTTAAGTCTGCAATCCTTAAGCATCCTTACCTAGAACTACATTTCAGCAAATTCACTGAAAATGTGGGGCTAAATATCATCACATGAAAGTATGTGTAAACAAATTCTGATACCCCCTTTTGGGATTCACTTATGTTTTGAACTGCTTGTTGGGCAAAAATTATTCAACTTGTTTGGAAATTTAGAATGCCAAAACTGCAAGGTAAAAAATAATTGAGCTTCCTGTGAACTGAGCTGGCATTCTGTTCAAGCTAGCCCTAGCCCAACTTTCTGAAAAAAATATAGGCAGGGCATTCAAATTAATGAGTCTTTGGCCTGAGAACCTGCAATCATATATATTCATTTGGGGGTTCTTCTGACTCTGAACCATCTATTGATCAGTACAGGACCTCTGTATAACAGACAATTTCACAGCTGGTCTTTGGAGAATGCAATTTTGTGTCACTTGTTGTGTAAGCAAAGCACTTCAAACATATGAACTTGGATTAAGGGTTTACAGTGTGTTCTCCAGATCAGTTATGTAGATTACCATGTTGTTTGGTACAAGGATGGTTTTTTTATGGTGGGATGCCGGGTATGGATCGAGCCAGATGCATCAGATACTGAGTTATTTCTTCTGCTAGGGCTAAACGTGATTTTTATGAAGTGTTGTGGAAGAATTTTCTCCAAATTCAGCTGGCACAATGTTAGGTCTTTTTTATAGTCTCATTATCCACCCCTCAAGGTACAAGAAGATATCAATTAATTAATTTATTCAGTTAGTAAACCATATCAGATTTATTAATTGAATTATTGGTCAAGTACTCCTCTACGAACCCAGTATTCATTGTCCTCTTTATTACACAAAAGGACAAGTTAATATTTAATTAGACTTCTTTAATCAGACTACCTTCCTTTCTGATAAAAAGTCATTGGTCTAAATCTAGTTGATGGTCCTAATTAGACTAGACCCACTGAATCAACAGGATGTTCATAAGGGTCGACTTAATAAGCCATATTTATTCAGTGGATCTACTCTTTGGTCCAAGGGCAGTTGGATTCAGCCCTTTGTTCACATGTTGATGAACTAAACAGAAATTAAGGGACACTTAACAGAATGTAAGAATATTTTGCCATAATATTTTGCCTTTCACTTTTAAAACTAGACTCAGTTTTTCAAATCTCAATTAAATCAGCATCAACCACAATATTTTAAGTCATAATATTGTTACAGCACACTTGAAAGGGGTAGTAAACTATAAACAGAACTCAACTGAAACATAACATTCAAATAAGTAATGGATTAAAATGCCAATTCTTTGCATTAACTGTCTTTTTATTGTATTCTCAAAGGCTTGTTGTTCATGTGAGAGTTCACACATGTGCATTGTCTATTTGCTCTTATCTTTTAGCTGTCACATATTGTAATGTTTATGAAGAAATCTGTAATTTGTTTAGATAACATCTTCTCTGCCTCAAGTTCCAATTTTACATTATAATGTTCATGTTTGTTTGTTTAATAAAATGCCAAGGGACAGATAGACTAACAAGGAAACTAAATTTAATCACCATCTTGATAATAACTTATGACAATTCAGAAACAATTAGTTGCAATAGATATTAAAAAGTTGGCTTATTGGGACTTGCTGAGGAGTTCAGTGGAACAGCAATACAAGGGCTGCAGGTAATAGGACCCTTCCTCATGTAGCTTCTACAAGGAAAAACTCAGGTTTTGGCCATCCATCCAGCAATAGTTTTGAATGGGAAAAGTGGTGGTATGGAAGGACAAGAATCTAAGTTACTTGCTAAATGAAGCAACATTTTTACCACCTACCCAGAGGTGCAGACAGAAGAGAGCTGATGACCAGAGCAAGCAGAGTCTCCGAGAGCTAAGTAAACACACACATGTCTTTTCTATCCCCCATGTCCCATACAGATTTAGAATGAAAAGTTCTGTATGGAGGTGTCTCTTAATTAAAGGGCACAAGACCTCTTGGAGTTGCTCTTTGGCTGTGGCTTTCTAAAGTGGGCTGGCCAGGTCACTAGTTTAGGTATCTGGCTGTCAAGCAGAGGTTGGGAGTTCGATTCCCTACTGTGCCTCCAGGGAAAAGAGCCAGCCTGTGTTGCCTTCAGCCAGCTGCACAGTCCCTGGGCACTCCCAGTAGAAGGGAATGGTAAACCACTTCTGAATACTTTCTACCTGGAAAAATCCTTAATAGGGTTGCTAGGAGTCAGAATTGATTTGATGGCACACACTTATTCCCAGCTGGTAAGAGACAAAGTGATACAATTAGAAGAATTGGCATCAATCAGTAATTAACTTGTTAAAGTAATCTGAGATATTTTGTCCAGCTCTCTTTGTCCTATAAGGCATGCACACCTGTGACAGTAGCCAGTATGGGAAATTGCCATGTAGGTGGAAAAAAGATAATTCCTTCTTGCTTTCTTCCTCTTTCAACTCATACTGTCCTACCACGAAATATTACTTCATTGTACTGTGATGTTTCTGGCATGAAGAAAGATAGTCTGAATACAGATGCAATCTCTCCAGAGAGGCTCTGCTATGGCCCATAAAGCAGGAATGAGAGCCACATTCTACACTGCCCTCCCATGTTACTTTCTTTAACCTGTGCTTTGAACTGTAGCTTGTCCATGCACAGGTTTGATGATAACTGCAGTTTATAAACAGCTACTTTTTTTTCCAGTTGTTTTAAAAGAAATGCTGGTGTTGGTGCTGGGGCACTCCCCCTTTTTGAGTAGAAACAAAAGGGGTATGTTGTGTGCTTTTTAAACACACTCCTAAAGTTAGCAAATTGCAACAGAATTCCATTCTTAAAGGTGGGTATCAGATCTGATGTGTTTTGTCTGAACACAGAATGCACTTGTTGTGGGAAGACTGCGTGAAAAACTGGCCAACAGAGCAAAGTGGTATCATATTAAAAGCCTTGTCTGAAATTGTCCTTGTTCACATGGCTTCTGCTGGTACAGATTTAATTGTAGCCTTAAGTTAACCATGCTGTCTTAGCTAAGCCATATATTTCCTGCTATCCAATTTGCAACAAGATAGTGACACTGGGGTGATGATAACATCTTGTGAAAGCTGCATAGCCAAATGATGCCAGCGCCGAAGCATTTTCTAAAATCACTCTCTGTTAAATATCTTAAGGAGATTTTGGAGAGAGGGCCATGTTAGACTACCAACAGCAAAACAGAAATAACATTACTGTGGCACTTTTAAGATGAATACATTTATTGTACTGTGAGCTTTTGTGGATTGTAATCCACTTCTTCAGATACATGGAGTACCTTAGGTGTCCAGAGGTTTAAATAGAGCGTACGTGATACGGGGACGGACCAATACTGGACACAAGACCAAAGCGGAATGTTGATTCCACATTAATACAGTACCTCCTAATGAGAACCAGTGTGGCGTAGTGGATAGAGGGATGGAGTAGGACTCAGGAGACCCACGTTCAAATCCATGTTCAGCCATAGAATCTCACTAGAAGAACCACTCCTTAAATATCTGATTTACCTTGAAAAAAATCCTATTAGGGTCTCTATATTTTGAATGCCACTTGACAACACATAACAAACAATGAGCTTCCAAGATGACAATGGTGTTATTAAGACAATGAATAAACATTTGAAATATTGATGTAATGTTAGCATCATGACAATAGGAATATACAGAGATGTGAGGTTTTTTGACTTGGGTTTTACGACCTGAATGTTCAAGAATGGTAGGTTGTATCCAAGGAAACCCTGGGCTGTAAACAAGACAATGGCAGCAGGGATTGAAGAAACACAGACCCTAACACTCAAATCCTGTAAACTCGTCCCTTGTAGCTGCCTATTGCTAGGATTTTATTTGTTTTATGAGCACCTGGAATATTTACTACCAGTGCTATTGTCACCTTGGGAACTATTGCCAAGGGCTAAAATGCAGCAGTCACACCTGTGGTCCCACCTCTACCCAGGTACACTGCACATAAACCTCTTGCCCTGTAACTCTGAAGAAGTGGGCTGCATCATATGCCGAACTATATTTCAGGAGGGGCTGTTCATTTTCTAGGAAGTTATACATTTCAAACTTGCAATTGTGTTCGAAATTATCAGATGTTCTACAGTTGTTCATGCCTATAACATAGTCTGATGGTTCCCTCCAGTGGTAATATATTGCATTTACGTACATTTCCACAAAATAAGCAGCAACAGAACTCTCACAGCTTATATAATACCATTTAACTCTACTAGGACGGGACAGACAGCACTCTAGTATTATGCTCCAAAGGTACTCCTTTTTAGCCAACAGTTTCTGAACAGATTACGCCAGATAACTCAGATTGCTTTTTGTGCATGGTTTTCCACTGGAATTTGGTTGAAGTGATAGTTCTAAAGTGGTGCTTTGGCTACATAATTATGCAAACAATGCAAGTACTAAAACATTTATCAATGTGATCTAGCATAATATAATGATGTACAGACATCAGACATGTGGAATCTGCTGTTTTCCTTCCTCGAGTTTGCTGTAGGACCACAGCAGGTCAGAGGTACCTTGGCTACATCTAACAACAACAGAATCAAAGGATCTTCCAACTGGAACTTTGCACCAACATTTATAGTTCAATAATTATTGTGTTCA